CTGCCTGTAATATAGAAGAAAACAACAGCACTATTGTTGGTGATTTTATTATAAATAAGTGAAAATGCAAGCCAAATTTAGCTATTCTGCTTTCATCCCTGCATAAAATTTCTGTCTACCCAAAGGAAAAAAAAAATACTTTGATGAGGTACATGTATATTTGCACTGAAAGACTGCCACAAATCTTCCCAGTACAACAAATCTTCCCAGGCACTGCTCCATATATTTGTCTAAAAGAAAATCAGTTAAAAAAAAAAAGGCATAAAATGGAATAAAGGGAGCAAGGGAGCCTTATTTTAAGGTTGTTAAAACCTTGTGATTGATTGTTGTCAGCATTCAAGTACCATAAAAATAAAATACATGCAATATTTGCATTTGTTATATAGTGATATTTTTATCTTTGATCTTGGTAATATGAGAATTGATATCTTAATTTATAATTACCAGAAACTCCCTCCGTAAAAATATAACCAGACTGTGCAGTTGTTATATATAGTTTAATCTCTCTCTCTATATGATATATCACTTACATTACTGAGACATTGTTTCATGGAAAGATTCAGGATATTCTAGCCTTATTAACAGTGCTCAGATGCTGTAATGCTACCTGCCTCTGGCACAGGGTGAGTCAGATCCTGCCTGTACCCATCTCTTCAAAAAGCTCTTGCTGAAGTCAATGGGACATTTGACTGATTCACAGAGCAGGGTCAGGCTTTCGGTTATCTAGGAATTACACAGACTCAGACTCATTTCCTCCAGGATCCCAACTGCCTGATTAAAAGTATCAGCTGGGAATCTGGAAGTCTGTGCTCTGTTCCCTTATCTGTTACATCCCCTGTGATCAAGGGATGGACATACCTATTAGCAGCAGCCTCCATGCAGCACCCAGAGCAAGGGTCAGTGCATGCAGTTGTTTGGTAGGCTTGAAAATTAGGTGTTTCAGTTTCCCCAGGGCAAAGCTGATGAGAACGCTTTTGCAGTGGGGTTTCTGCACTTACTTGACAGTTTGCAAGATGATTTAACGCTGTTGTTGTTAGCTGGAAAGCAAAAGATGATGATTTTCCCATTACGTTCATAGTAAATTAGGAGTTAGCCACCTAGAAGGAAATAGAAAGATAGACCTAGAGAGGAGAATGCCTGTTCAAGAAACAGACTTATGCAGAGAATGACTTGGATATGTATCAGACTAAAAGCTCAGTAATATTTCATTGGAACTTTCTCTGCAGAAATAGGAAAGTTTGTTGAATGAACTGCTCTGAAAAGACTCCTGCTGACACCGGAGAAAATGTTACCAAGAATCAAAGTCTTAGCAGGAAAAGGTAGAAGACTTTTTGTCCTGCCTAACCTCTGCATTACAGATATTTGCACTGATGAAAGAAATGTTATGTCTTTGGCTGACTTGAGTGGAATGTGAAATCTTCCATTTTTCAGAACATTTTTCTCCTTCAGATCACTTGAAATGATCAAAGGAGGAAGGCTGTGAATCCATGAAGGGAACTGGTGATTTAACAGTGAACTTCTTTATTCTGAGTCTTAACAGTTGAGAACAGCTTCAGCTGACCCAGAATATTCTGTTAGCTTTGGTTTTCCACCACCCATGTAGGACAGCGGGAATACTTGGAAGAGCCCTAGAGCAGCTGTTCTGCCAAAGAGGGAGAAGTGCTGTAAGATGATCAGGTACTAGACAAGGGCTTGTCCCGATGTGCTGTAAGTGAAATAATATCAAAGCACTCTCTATGCTTTTTTTTAAAGGGTGGGTCACTGCTGCTACTTTTGCTTCATTCCTATAGGCAAGTGAACTTAATAGTAGAAGATTGTATATGCAGACACATTGCATCTTTTTAAATGTATTTGTACATGTAAAGCACTGTACTCTTCTTCATGCTGCCTGCAAACTTCTCCAACACAATAGTGATTATACTGAAGTAGTTTATTCTTGTAAGGGAAGGGAAATGGGTAATAACAGCACAAGGGTTTTTAATAACATCTAATCCATAAATTTGGAGAGAAAGTTTTCTTTGCAAATGGATAGCCACAGGCAGTGATCCACTGGGAAGCACTACTGAATGTATTTAGACTTTTACAGCAGCAGGAGAAAAATAAACTTAACTTTGGAAAATCTGCATCTGATTTGTTTTTCAAGCTGAGAAGCATGCAAGGTAATTTTTAGTTTAGATTAAGGTAAACAGCAGAGAAAGAAGAAAATAATTATCTTATAAGAGAGTAGAATACGTCTCTCTCATGTCTCAAGCACCCTCCGCCCTGCCATGAAGCTGGCTTGCAGAAGGGCACACACTTGCCAAGGGACTGGCCCTGCCTATGACCTTCTTCACACATTGCAAGAGGAGAAATAACAGCACACATACTTGGCACTTCAGGAATCTGCATTTAGGAAATAAGTTTGAAGGTGGGCTGAAAATTACATAGAAATAGGAGCTAAAAACCTCTTCTATCACAAGAGAATTCCCCCATGCGGGGCTGCCAGAGCATGCGAAGGAATGATTCAGAGGAAGCCAGATTTGAATGGGTTGTTCATGTAATTTTCAATTCTGTTGTAGACAAGACACAGTAGTCTTCAAGATTGTTCAGCTGAGGGCTGGGTCCAATGCCATAAATCTGCAGACACAGATCCTGTACAACCGATTCAAGACTTCAGCTCTAGCTGGAAGGGAAGGAGGGATCAGCCCTACATTTTGTCTCCCATTAATATATCCAGAATGTGTTAAACCTGTCTTCTTTTTTTCCAGCCTTAGTGGTATTAAACAGAACAGATATCTACTGAGCAGATATCTACTGAGCGTATACATAATACTGTGTTTTCCTACATGAACAGCAAAGGTCCCACTAGCAGATGGATGCTGCGCAGCAAATGCCGAATCCCTCAACCCACTGAAGCTCGCTCTGACCTATCAGCACCGAGTTCACAAGCAGCACAGGGTAAAACTGAGCAGCTCTGAGGCACCTCCCTTAAAACAGTGCTGGACACCCCCATATAAGAGGAAGTAAATTTGTATTATCCATGGCAAGCAACGATTCTGGACTCTGGTGCATAGAAATACATCTTATACTCTACTCCATAGTATATAAAAAGAAAAATGGGAGAAGAGGAAAGTTAGATCTAGAGAATAATCCAACAAACAGCTGTTTTATACCCTGAAACATACTTGTGTAGGAATTAGTACATTTGCCCACATACATTCCTGCAGGCCAGATCAGCTTTCACTGAGAAGATAATTTAGAAATGAACATGCATTTTCTACTATTTATAAGACTTTCCTCTTAATGATTCATCTGCACTGCAGATGCAGTGGGAGCAGGGTGCTGTTTAGAACACAGTTGCAATGTGTAGGGTAGACAGGATTTACTCACGCTTTCGTGTTGTTTAACTACAAAATGCAGTAGTTCTCAAATGAGAGGTTTTGATCTTGGGCTTGGAAAATGGAGTTATGAGCCCACAGAAGCAGAAAAAGCATAAATACGTTGATATGGGACCAAAAATTTAAAATGCAAAGAACCCAGAGGATATCTACTCTACACTGACTTAGGACTATCTTTTGAGGCATGTGGAAATTTCATTTCTACTTGTCTTTATCAATGATGCATTCTTAATGGATATAGGATGCCTAAGCCTCAGGTTCAACAGGACACTCAGAGTCCCACAGGTCCAGTGTGATAACCCATAAAATATAGGATGTCCTATAAGAGATGGTCAACCTAGCTGAATCATTTCTTAGCATCCTCTGGCAGCTCAGCATGGATGGACTTCTCCATCCATGGCTTTCAGCTTTTTCCATATTTCTGTGGTAGCTGGATTTACATAATTATAAATATAAATATACACACACATATATACACTAGTATTAGTAGCCCAAATTGTCTGAAAAAGTGACTTCAGCTCATCATTCCAGGCACGTGCAACTTAGCTGCAGAGTAAGTTTGTGAGTTGCATGAATTATGATTTACCTGTCCCCACTCAGTTCAATGTCCATGGCTTAAAATGAAGCACTAGGGATACACTGTTCAGGTGAGTTTATTCAAATACAACAACAACAAAATAACAGGATTCCCAGAAGAAAATGACCCTCTATTCCACAAAACAGGGGAAGAAAAAAAAAAAAAAATTTAGTAACATAAATTACAAATTTTGGCCAAAAAATTTTGAATTTCATTACTCTCTGAGTTCAGCACAGATGCTCTCTCTGTTAAAAGCCTTTGGTATTCTTCAAAGAATTTGGTATTCTCTGGAGAATTCTTTACAGTACTAACTAGACTCAAGGATCAAGTCACAGCCCACTAGTGTAAGTTACAGGGCCAGATCCCATCCATTTTCCTCTCTCTGGGTGCTACCATGCCTCACCATCCCTTCTGGACGATCCCATTTTTATTAATGGAACTGGTTGCAGACCAAGGTGTTACTGAAACTGATGTAGTTTTTCAGTGTGTTATATACCACAAATACCACAGTTAACCAAATAAAACTTAAAATTGTCTCATCAAAGGAAAAATATAAAGCATTGCAGAATCATTCTTGACTTCACTCTCCAGGGCTTATAGTGTTTTACTGCAGCAAGAATTACATTACGGTTATAAACCAGAATTATTTCACTTGCTAAAACTCCTAAAGTAATACCTACAAAATTATGGCAAAAACCATCCAAATGCCTATTTTGGCCTTAAAAGGATGTGCTTAAACACACCTCTCCTCAGGAAAGCACATTATCACATGCTTAGAGCTGAATCCCTGTGTAAGTGCTTCCCTGAGCCAGAGTCCAAACAATGCCCTGATGAAGCAGGTGAAACTCCAAAGGCTTTTGACCTCCCCAGATCTGTATGTGATCTCTCAAAATACAAACAGATCATCAGACTCTTCAAAATGACCTGTACAGTTCACTCAAGCTACATGGGTTTTCCATTGAACACACTGACTGAAAAGGCAGTGTGGAGGAAAACATTTATTACCCACTTATAATATTTCTCTGGATTATAATTTGGTTTAAAAATTACAATTCTTGCAACAACTTTACTTCTTCCTCGTCACTGTCAGTTACATTGATTAGGTGGATGCTGGAGGGAGTAGACGAGGCAGCTGACAAAACCTCCTCCAATGCTGCAACATCGAGCTGTGGTAGGGGGCTTAAATACGGATCCTCGTTGCAGCTGCTGTGACAGGACACTACTTCAAGGCTCTCACAGCTGCGGTGGTCCTCACTTATACTTTCTATTGGGTATTCCTTGAAAGGATAGTCTCCATCCAGAGCTGAAAACATCACCTCCTGTCTTGGGTACCTCTCTTCATAAAAGCCAAGGCATTCAGGCACTGAGCTGGAGAAATTCCCACAGCCAAATGGAGGTCGGCTGAATGGGCATGTGCTGCAATGAAAGAGATTGACAGTTGGCTTTCAGAAATGCAGATTGCCTGGACTTCCATTCAGCTAAGAAAAACAGAATGACACTGATGTTCTATGCTAGTCAGCTTATCCTGTTGAAATATTCAAAGCATGCATACTTTAAAACCATGCCTAATTTAAACACTGGGGCCATAACAAAAGCTGTGCACAGATTCCATATCTGTGCCTATGCACCTCTTCATGCTAGATACATGCATGACATTGCTTTGAAAACAAACACAAAGCCTATGGTATTTATCAATGAAATAATATCATGGATAAACCAGCATCTGATAATCCTGCAGTATGTTAACCGACATACTTAGAATAGTAAGACAAAGCATCAAAAGTCAGTTTGTGTTAGTTATTCCTGTATGCCAAAATTTGTGACAAAGGTGGGGTAAAACGCTCTTATTTATTCTTTGAGTGCTCTTTTGCATCTGTTATACCGTTATTAAACAGGAGGACTGACAGAGAATCCTTGTGGTCAATATGTGGTTGTCAATGTTACTATTTAAAGAATGGATGGTGAAACATTTTTAAAAAGCAACCCCATAGTAGATTACAGGAAGTTACTATGTATGTCAAATGTAACTATTTCTCTGGTGTCAGAAGTTTGAATTTTTTTTGATGAGGAATGACACACTTATTGTAATTTACACAGTGTTACAGAAATTCACTACATTGTTAAGAAAACAAAGTATGTGAAGAAGGAGCTCTACAGTGCAGACATTATAAAGACATTGATACAATGTCTATTGAGGTTTCATGGAGAGTATTCATCTTTCCAATCTAACATTTAAATTTTTAGTGCATAAATCTACATAGATACATTTGCACTGTCAATGCTACTCAGAAATTATGATTCTTGTATGCAGAAAATGAGTTTATAGGAATATGAAACTATAAATCATTGTATTAGAAAGATCCTGCCATTAGAAAAGCTAGCAGCCTTCAGCATTCCATTAATGTGTGAACTCAGAACAGTTTTTTACGGTACAAGAACACTCCTGTCCCTCAGAGACCTCACAAAACTGCCTAACTTCAGAGACCAAGGGCTAAGCAAAGTTCATCTTTAGTAACTTTGGGAATATATGTCCTGTGTTTCTTTAAAGGACCTCAAAAATAGAAATGTCTCATTCTGCACTTACCAGCTCATAAAGTTCTTTTGAGTTTGATGGGTCATCATCAGCCCTACTTTATGACCAGGTAGTCTTATTGCCATAGGAACATATTGATTGTTGCTATTAGTGGGAATGAGCAGCGTATAAACAGGCAGAATTTAAGTCTAACAGTCATAATAATTTGTTATGTTTGATATTGCACGGTCACGAAAGAAAAATGATGCCTTACAAAGAACAAACATCAATAAGCTATCAGACTTCTTGTATTTGAGCAGCACACCTGCTGCTGGGAGGGCACTGATGCTTTCCGTGCATGCCTAGCTTAGGAAATACCCACAGGATATTACACGTGTGAGCTTGCAAATTCTTTGATTAGATGATCTCCCATTGACTGCCCAGAGACTGCAAAGGAAAAACTAGGAATTACTACTTAAGAATTCTGAAGACATTTCCCACCAGGCTGGATTTCAGAAATATTGGTATTTATGACAGCTGCAATCATAGTACCCAGGAGACATCTCACACATCTACTTTAATTTTTAATTTTATCCAATCATTTTCAAAATATATTTATACTGTCTCTACCTAATGCTTTTCTGTAGAAATCACCTGCACTTAGATGCATAAAGTAGAGAGAAGATACTTCTAATTACTGTGGGCTTGGGAATGCCAATTACTGCAATAGTACTATGGACCCTTCAATAACTGGGCGTATATAACGAGCAGTCTCAGGCCAGCAGGTCTCACCACACAGGAGCTATAGGGAGGTAAAAGCACCTTTCCTTCTGAATGCTCCATCTTCTTTTTGTAAGTCAAAGACCCTCTGCCTTTTAGCATTTGTTCTTACTGGTATTGAAATGAAGGTTTGCATTACCTTGAGGGGAAATAGTGAGGTCCAGGTACAAAGTAAGGGTGGTGAAATGAAAACCGTGGAGGTACTCCAAACAGGTTGGTTGGCTGACCAATGGGAATAGACTCACAGAGATGTGAGTGAAGAAAAGGTGTAGCTTGAGGAAGAGGTACACCTCTAGGAAAAATAGAAACCCCTGGGTATTCCTTTGGGGGCTCACTATTAGAGACAGTAAATCTGCCATTAGTGGTGCTTATGTTACTTGGGTTTCTGCTGAAGCTCTCAATGAAAACTGGTGTAGGTCTCTTCAGAGAGCAACTGAGCCCAGATGATACATCAAGAACTTCTGTCTGGGCAGCTTCAGCAAAGTGCTGCGGTGAAATTACAGGGCGCAGGGGCAGGGTTGGAGCTGGAACAGCCACTGATGCGGTGCTTGCGCCAGTAGTCTGGAAAAGAGTAATTGGACCAGCTTGTTGAATGGAAGCAACCGGCAGACGGATGGCAGGAGTCTCACCTTTAGGAAACAGAACAGTTATTTATCAGACACAAAGAGAGGAGGAGACTGCTTGAACAGCAGCATAGCAAACCACAGCCAGAGCCAGAACCGTGACCCCCAAAACACTTCCTAGCATTACTTCCCTGCAACTCACAGTCATACACAACTTGGCCTATGTGTGTTCTGACAGATGGGTTTGGAGCCCACACATTCAAGCTTCCTTCTACAGAAACACAAGGGTGAAAGAAAGAATTGGCTAGTGAGTGTTGAGGCTGTGAGGGCTGTGTCTTGTCCTGATATGGCCACAGAATGGGGTTGGAGCACACCCTTAGTGCCTGAAGCTCAGAAGACCTCCCAAGTCTACTAGCTGAGTTGGAGTGAGCCAAATTCCTAACAAATCTGTGTGGTGCCAAAGCAGCAGTGAGGAGCAGAAGTGACAGTTAAAACACCCTACTCTCTGGTATGTTTTCTTATTTGTTTCACCAATGAATGTACCTGCTAGCCAATTTCACTTTGAAACATTTTGCAGAACATACACTTGAATGTACACTTTCAAATCACATGTCAACAGGTCTGCCTTTATACAGAAAGATTTCAAAATACATTGCGTAAGTATTTTCAAACCCCACTACCTAGTCTAAGGGTCTAAATTCCAACTTGACAGGACTTAAATGTGTCTAGATTTTTACAGTTTGTATTTAAGAATCATTTCAATGGCAATAGGATAGTAAACTCTGGAATGAAATATAGTAGCATCTCACGACAACATAACATTATAAGATATACTAGGGCAAGAAAACAAATAATACTTTATTCAGTCCAATTTACAGAAGGATTTGAGAAAGGATCACATCACTAACTCAGAACTTCACCAGAACAAAGCTAAGTGTTCTCTTTTACATCTCTGAATATTATGACACAGCATAAACAGGCATTTCATTTTCTTGTCTCATTATAAAGAGAGCAGCCCTTGTCATATGCTTAAAGAGAAAAATGCCATTGCCTGGATCTAAGCTATTTGTTGTTGAAATCCACTGTCCATGCACTGACAGAGCCAGAGCTCTTTCACTACAAAATATGCAGGTCAGCTATTATACCTGACTGCAGGCTGTCATACTACACCCTATTTCACTGCCAATATTGACTTACAAAAAGGAGGATCCTTCCAGGTTAGGTGTAACTTTTTAATGCATTCCTTCTGTAACTATATTTTTATTTGTATAAAAGCTGAACTATGTGTGCTCAAACTGGGCATGTGCAAGTCCATAACAACTACATATATCACTATTCCAGGTATGCATAGATACCTAGGTTCATGGAAAATGTTCAAATGAAAAATTTCTTTTTCAGCTTTAATACTGCAGCACACACCTTACTAACACCCTACTAACTTCCCTTTTTATGACCTTGTTGACAATTCTGTCTGCTGTCTCATGTAAGCAGTTTAAGCTGCTGAGCATTTGCTCTAGAGTAATGGTGCCCTCACTACCAAGGAACACTTAACATCAGGGTGGAGGTGCCATGGACTAAGCTAACAAGATTTTTCAGGCCTAGTAGGGCAGGGTTGAGCCCTAGTGCAGTTAGAGCTGGTGAGGGAAGATATGTGAGGTGGAGACAGAACAAGAAAAAGAAACAGCTGTAGCCTAACAGGAAGCAAGTGTCACGTAATAAGAGATCCAAAAAGACCAAGAGGTAGCAGAAGGTAACCAGGAGCTACAAAGACAATAGCAGGGAACTGTGGGCAATGAAGAAGCCAGATGAATTTAAGAGGCTGAGGAAACAGTAGGTAGAGACTAGAAGGCAGATGTGCAGTGCAGAGGAAGACTGGTAGAAAGAGTGGTGTCAAGAAAGACTGAGAGATTGTTTTAACTATATCTATACTACCATATGTATAACTTTTACTACAATAGGTAAATTTGGAATTTTTAAAATCATTCACTATTGAAAACTCACAGACTGGATGTCCGATATTGTTCTTAACATTGGGGATGACAACAGAGTAAGCAGGTGACTGGAAGGGACAAATGCCAGCTGGATTTGTAGTGATGATACTCTGAGAAGTGCCGGAAAATACAGCAGAGACAGGCAGTGGAAAACGCTTCCGTTTGCCTGGTCGTGGTTGATAAACCCAACCTGTCAGAGATGAAAAAAGATGCAGATAGCTGATTCTTGGGATGGTCTCATTCTTTAAGTAAAGCTTTGATATCTGTAATTCTGAAGTATCTAAAAAAAAATTAATCCAAAACCTGCTCCTATAGTCAATGGCAATACTCCATTTGTTTCAGTGAGCTAGCAAATGGGGTATTTTGTCAGCAGTGGAAATAAAATGGACACATTTGGGCATTGTTTTTATGTTACTAGATAGTAACTCTTTATGACACAAAGAAATACAGAACAGTGGGGAGTGAGGTGGCACAGTTGAGGAAAGCATGTTACATGACACTGTACCATGGGCATTCAGCACGGAAGAAACCCATGACTATTCAAAATGTGGATCTTTCCTGATTGTTTCCTTAATCCCTTAAGTCTCACATATACCTGCAGGTTACAAGAGGCAACGGCAAATATGACCCACTAGGAATCCTGTATAGATTTTGGAGGAGTATATTTGCCTTTGACTTACAACATTAACCAAACACATCTTCCACACCGTTATTTGGGAATTGCAGGTTTACACGTTGAAGAATCCCACAGAATACAATGCCGTTTGTGCTTCCTGTGGCATTTCCCTTTCCTGCTTTTAAGGAATGGATGCATGTGTCACCACAGGCCACCTGGGCAGCTCTTTCTGGAGCATGTAAAATGACGCAGCAGGCCATGTTCACAATAAACTCACTCTCTGGCCATTAGACTACTAAAGCATTCAGAAGAGCTGCTGTAGCTGTGGTAGTCTAAGACCATAAGAAATATCAGAGGCTATGAAGGATGAAACATCATTTTGGATGCTTATAAAAATTAATATGCTTTCAGGCACTAGAAAGCTGACAGAAGGACTGCGTGCTTGAAATATCTGTAATTTTTTTCTAACTCTGTTACTTGCTCAAATGGAAGAGATCCATTTTTCAAAAAAATCTTGCACTTCTAAAGCATTCAGGTAAATAGATACATGTTTACCAGGAAATTCCTCTCTGTGCCTTTGTTTTATTTTCAGAGCTTCATCATAATAGGGCTGCTTCTGCTCTTCAGTCAGTTTGCTCCATTCCAATCCAAGCTGAACACTGATTTCTGCATTATTGGCAGTGGGGTTAGCTTTTGCTAGAGCAGGCCGATGAATCCTAGCCCACACCATAAATGCGTTCATTGGACGCTTTACATGGCCACTTTTGTCCTTGCTAAATGGAGTATCTGGCATACCTATGCAACAAAACGAGGAAGGACGATCATCTTCCAGGCAATATATGCAATACAGGTTACATTTAGTAGTACATCAAGAGGATATTTGGCACCAGTCAAAAGAATCACTAGAGCTTTGGAACACATGAAACTCGATGCACATTTGGAGAGTGGTTCCTAGAAAAATAACTAAGGCTACGGGAGTATCCTCCACTAACCTTCACTGAACCACTGCCTAAGGAATCATTTACCTGGCTTTTGTTACATATTGTTAAAAAATAAAAAAAAAAAAAAGAAAGAAACATATGGGGCTGCTAACGCACTGGTTTGGATTTCATCTGGCTAGATTGTTTTGTTATGAATTTATAAACTTATTAATTTATAAACTAAACATTGTATAGCATAGACCATATCACTGCAAATTTGTCATCACCACCAGAATTATGTATCCAAAGCCCTAACGATGCAGGGACCAGATCTAATGATGATATGGCAGTTTAGTCCCACACCTGTGCAGTCCCTGACTTCTCAGCTGAGGTTGTTGCTGTTCTGGGTTTCTGGTTTGTTTGTTTTTATTTTTTTTTTCCCCTCTCTCACTCTTTTCGCAGATTTGGACACTGATTTTGCTGGAGGAACCTGTGTTACCAAATTACTTGTTACATGACACCCAGCTTTGGCTCTTTGTAAACACAGACCGCATTTAAATTGAGCTGGTGACATGATGAATCCCCAGACCCCTCACACCTGATCCCTGAGCAAGCAATTTCCTCTCTGAAAAAGGCTTAGAAATGAACTCTTTCACATTATCAATGAAGGGCAAAAGTCTTCTGGTTTTTAAGACCTCACTTAACTAAGTCGTTAATTTTGAAAGCCTAAATATCTTTCAAAAAAAGTAGGCTACTAAGCTGCATGTTTCAAAATGTTCCTCATTTAACATGTCCAAATTTTCTCAGCGAGGTGTATGAATGCTTCATAGCTTTAAAAATCAAGGGAGATCCCTGACCTTAAACTTGCAATCACCACCCAGTGCAATTCTGAACACTGCTGTAAGGGGTTTAATGTAGTCAGGGAGCAAGCGGACAAGACTGTGTTGACTTTAACAAACAACTGGAGAACTCTGTGCTCCCGTGTGCTTATGTCTTATGCTGAAGAAGAGAGTTGCACAAGCTCCCGTCTACCCAAAGGGACGGTTCTCTAGCACGACCTTCCCACTGGCATTCTCCTATCTGGTAACCTGTCAACTGCGGGGCCACTTAGTGAACCCTCGCAAGCTCTCTTCACATAATACCTGAATCGGAGGGCAGTACTGTGAGGGGAACGTTTTTAGTCTCAATCTTTACTGAGGGCTCCAGTAAAGGCTGCATTTTAAGCGGCACTTGTTTCACCGGCACTTTGGTCACACGGATCAGCTCTGACGGTGGCAGAGGGCCTTGGATCTGTATGCGGGTCCCGGGAGGTAAGGGCTGAAACACCAGCGGGATCTTCAGGCCTTCGGGGGGGATCCCAAACCCCTCTCGCAGCTCCACCTTGCGCTCCTTGGCTCCGCTGGGGGCAGGCCTGCGCCGCCAGCCCGCCAGGGCCCCGTCCTTTTCCATCTTCACCCCGCGGGCCTCGTCCTTTTCCGTCTTCACCCCGCGGGCCTCGAAGGCCACGGCCGGCTCCGCCTTGACGGCACCTCCTCGCCAGGGCTCCTTCCCGCTCCCCCTCTCCTCCAGCGCCTTCTCCTCCTTCTGGACTTCTCCGCTGCCCCCGTCGCGGCCCCCTTCTCTCTTGACGGCCCCGCGGGCCTCCTCTTTCCAACCCCCCGGGCCCGGGGAGCCCCCGAACTCCCCCGCTGACTCTCTGGGCGCATCTCCCTCCCCCGGCTCGGGCTTCTCGACTTTGACGCGCACCACCCTGAGGGGGACCTTGGCCTCCTCCGGCGGGGAGGGCGCCGGGGGGCGCCGGGGGCCCGGCGGCGGCTCCCGGGGAGCCCCGG